TTTTTTTAAAAAAAAATCAGTAACGACTCCATTAGGATTACTGTGCTCTGCGATACCTGACCTAATTCCTAAAGCATTCCTATGCTTATTTTTCACACTTTTTTTTTTTTTGAGAGTGTAATTTATGGTATAAATTACTTTCCAAATTGACAAGATCGCGGAATTCTAATTCGCTACATTAATTTCTATAACACATATCTTATTGTTTCACTATATTAAGTAAAACAATAACAAAAAATTATGTCTGAGAAGGTAATATATTAGCGTGTGAAATAGTTCGTGTGAACATAGCGCCATCTGCCAATAAACTTTAAAAAAGTAATTAATAGTTTAATCTAATTTTTTCCTGTTTGTTTACGGGCGGTACACCTTATAATCATATCGAAATAAATTCACATCACTCGTTTTTCTTTATAATTGCTTAATAATAGGTATATATATATATATATATATATATTTATTGTCTTTGTAACCTTTATTATATTTTAAGATTGATTCTTGATGTTCTATAATAAAATCGAACCACTCGAATTTACAGATCAAACTTTGAACAAAAATAATTGTATTGCTTATTGCATTGTTTGTTTCTGTGGATCTTGCAAGTTTAAAGATTTTAAAATATTTTCATGGAATAGCAAACGAAACAAACAGAGAAACGATATTTTGTGGATTTCTTAAAAAATGTCTTTGAATCGTTGACTAATATCTGAAAATATACACTCGAGTAATTTTGGCCAAATTCAACTTTTGTGTATATTTATACGACAAATTTAGATTCTGAACTGCTATTTAAAGATAAAAAGTTTTTCTTATTACAATAACTAAAGAGCAAGTGGCTTAGAGGTTAACGAGCTCGAACTGTAAATCCAAGGGTTGATGGTTCGCGATCCGTTACCGCAAAACCACGATCTGTAACTTGGGGACGTGAATGTAGCTATAAAAGTGACAGTCAAACTTTCATTATTTGTCTTCCCAGTAGTTTATCAGTTCAAAATTAGAGACATCTATGCGCAGATAGACCACGTGTAGCTTTTCTCTGAAATTATGATAAAAACATTTCAAATTCAAAGTACGTCTTTCGAACTCTGGAACACGGTATGAACGCTTTTATCTTATCATCTTCAAGTGAGAATACCCCGACAGTAAATCATGATTTTCAAAAATTGTGATATCACGTGGTCATATAATTTTTTGAAAAAAAAAATTGCACTGAATTATTTTTCTCGTTTTCTTTTTTCACATTCCCTCTTTTGTTAAGTCTAAACTAATCTTAAACTTTTTTCTTTCAGCAATAAAGAAGACCCTTTGACTTGGAAGCTAGTCAATCCCGAACTTTCGCCAAGTGGATCAATTCTAGATGGATCTGTAAGTTGTCTGCTCAGTTTTCTATAATTTGAAAATTTTATGTTTCAATTTTATTCAGAGTCAGTTCATTAGTACTATTTATGAGCTAATAAATTAATTTTTTTATATAAATTCAGCAGTTTTCTATGACTTATACATATTTGTCAATTTGTGTTTCAGCATTCTCTGAGTAGCGGTAATTCTAGTTTTGAAGAAGCAAAGGAGACAAAAATTCAGTTGTCGTCCATAGGAGCCTCAGGGATTGGCTGCAGGTCAGGAATGATTAACTATTGTGGTTAAGCTAACGACAAATATAATAAGAATTAGTTAGTAAAATTTATTAGTTAATGCTGTCCTTAATAGTTAACCTTAGACGATATTATTATCCAATGATTTTATAATACCTATAATGTTTTCATTTTGAATGATGTGGAGTACTTTAAGATCCTGTGAACATCCTGTGACGTCAAGACACAAAACAGACGAACGGATAATTATATATATATACACATACGCCTATGTAAAGATATATGCGTTTACAGATATTCAAAAGGCTAATATTTTTATCTTTTAACACTTATGAAGCAAGTGCAAAATATATTTTAAAGGTGAATGAACAGGGGAATAGCTTCAGATATTACAGATTACTTCTGACTGAGTAGGTAACCCATGTATGGGTAATTATTGTTACCTTAGTCTAGGCTTTCACATGTTCTGAAATCCTGTAATGGAATTCTTTGCCAGATTCTACAATGTAGTGATTTGCACATACAGAGCATGTTCTGAAATCCTGGTATGAAGTTCTTAAACAATATTCAACACATATAAAACATGTTCTGAGATCCTGGAATAGCTTTCTGCCAGTCTCTCCAGTGTAATATTCACCACAGAATATGATGGTTTATAGAAAAGGTTTTTTGTCTAGACCTTTAGTTGCCAAATGTCTTATCTGAAAAATGCTGTTTGTGTGCAGTCTTATAACATATTGTAAATGTGTAAAAATGCCTAAGCTGGTGAAGCGAGGAAGTTTTTTAGGCTTAGTAAATACGAATAAATATCACAATATATGGATTTATGAAGTTTAAAAGTTCACTTAATAAGCCTTTGTTTCTGGATTTTAGCATCGCGAAGGGACCTCCAGAGATGCCAGGTATCTACATACAGACTGTAAAACCAGGGGGGTTGGCGGAGAAAGCAGGCCTGCAGGTTGGCGACCAGATAATAGAGATGAACGAAGACAGCTTCTTGAAGATTAAGTTTTCAGAAGTATGTACAATTAATAGAAAAAGAAAGAAACCTGATAATAGTAAATTTTTCATTTATTATTATATTATGTAATAGGATGGTTTATTTTAGAACCCACAGATACCGAATAGATTTTACAATGAAATAATAACTAAATGGCTTATTAGAAACAGTAAAACTGTTCATATAATTCACTCTAGCTTGTAATCAATTCTTTAATTCGAAGTAACAATGGACTAATCTTAATGTAGATGCCTGGCTGTATTAGAAACATATAATCTTTTGCGCAACGGTCACGATCCTAAAATAGGCCAAACTTAGTTACAGACACTTAGAGACACGCAGCTAAGCCTAATTATCGTATATATATATATAATCATCTTCTCTTTCTTTATCCAAATCAACTTATAAAGAATTTTAAAACTTTTACTGCAGCACTAAAATGTGTAGGTATATGTAAATAATTGCGACTGAAATTTAATGAACAAGTTTGGTCATTTTTTTCAACATGATTTGTCAGGACCTCTGTGTCTTGAAAGTACGTTGTGCGTTAGGTGTTATAGCAAAGGCAATAAAGCATTGGTACCTACAGAGCTAAACTTAGTCTCTTTTTGGTAATTCTTAGAAAAGACGTGAAAAATTAAAACTAATTGCCTAACTCTACAAAACCTCTAAAACACCTATAAAAATTATAGAAAAAATGTATGACTTATATTTGTAATTTAACGTTTTCAAACGATTCCAGTCAAACATATATATATGTACAGATAGATAGATATGTATTGATTTCTATTTAAAAAAAGTATATTTTAAAATTTCTATAACAAAATAATTCACAATTTCATAGTATTAGACGTTACTACTTTTTAATGAAAATTGTATTATCTCCGGCCTGGAATGACTTGGTGGTTAGAGCACTTGACTCACAGCCTGGGGGTCGCGGGTTCAAATCCCCTTTACCGAACATGCTCTCCTTTTCAGCCGTGGGGACGTGTGATGTGACGGTCAATCCCAAAATTCTTTGGTAAAAAAGTAGGCGGAGGTGAGGTTGACTAGCTGTCTTCCCTCTAGCATATCACTGCCAACTCTCAAGTAGGTTTGTGCGAAATTCAAAATAAACAAACAAAATATTATCTCTAGATGTAAATCTGACCCTCCCAAGTTGCGCCCACAACGACCAAACGCTGATACAGCAGCGACGAGGATCTCCCGATATAAATAATTATATTGAGAACTAAGGCACCAGCTATTGATGATCAGAAAGAAATAAGTAGGTATAAAAATTATAAAACATCTGAGAAAAATATGTTTGAACAATACTTGATAACATTTTAAATTTACATTGTTTCTGTCACAATAATGGCATTTTGAAAAATTACTTAGTGGCGCTATAAAATGTCTTAGGTTTTTAAATTAAAATTTATTACCAAGAGTTTATTGTTGCTTGAATAAGAATTTTGTAGTCCATATAGTTTTCTTATTTGTTTCACTATGGAAGATAAACGTTTTTGTGAATTTAACTTAAACTGATATTTATTAAATTCAGATACACCATATTTTGTTTGTGATTTTTATTTCATTATAAGAAATCTATTACGTCTAATTGGAGAACAGAAATAAAACACTGATAAAATACATATCTTCAAGGTACCATGTTATTTATCTTATATCATTATAGGCCGTGGCTTTATTAAAGTCTAGTAAAACAATGGATCTAACTGTTCGCAAGGGGGCAGGCCTAGACTTGTTTCCTGAAGAAAAAACCAAGAATTACCAACACTATGGTAACAGTTCCAAACCTGGAGAGGATGAAATATCCAAACTGTCTTCTCTTCAGGAACAAAGCGGATTGTCCGATCGGTATGACTGATTACTAACGTTTTTACAATTTAGAAAAAAACCTCAAATTTGCAAACTAAATAAAGGATTGAAAAAAAAATAAAAATAAGTCTGTAAGAAATTCAATAATTAATAAAAATGTTATCATTATTATCATGAGTTTATCAGGCGTTAATAAATACGTCGACCTTTATTCCTAAAAGTAGTCATCGTTAAGATAAAAAAAATGAACCAAAAATTCGATTTAATAAAGAATTTTGACGAATGCAACTTATTATTATTAGCCTATGTTTTCCAGATGAATAAATGATTATTTTTAAGGGAACAGTTATATCTCTATTCAAGGGACTCTGGTGTCATTGGTCATAGCTCTTTGAATGGTAAGGCTTGGAGCAGTCCTTCTAGTTCATCCAGTTCGAGAAATAGAATCAACGGATTCACCTCAGAGTCAGAGCAGGATTTCTCTTTAGCAGAAGTTGAAGAAGATACCCAAGTGCTAGAAGAAGTTGAAGAAGATGCCAGGATGTTAGAGGAAGCCCGAAGTTTGGTTGGATCTCACAGTGACGTTTGTAAACAGTCTTCCATTGCCAGCTCCAACGGCTTTCTGGATCTAAATGAAAGAATTGATATTGACAGATTAAGAGACTCAATCAGACAAGAAGAAGAACAGACAATAAAAAACCAGGAAGCAATGTTGGCAAAAGAACGGCAAAAAATCGAAGAAGAGCATAGAAAACTGCTTTTAGAAGCGGAGAGGATAGCTGAAGAAAGAAGAAAGCTAGAGGAAGAAAAAAAGCGCTTTGATACTGTAGGGTCATTGCCAAAACGACCGTTCTTAGCAGATATTAATAAGTTGGCAGAAAGAAGACGAAGCACAGATAGTACAGATACGAGTAACACGAGTTCCCCAGATTGGAAAATGAGATCAAAGCAGTTTCCAGGTGAGAGGTTTTGGTATAATACAAAAATGTAAATGAAAAATACGAGAAATGCTCAACATATTTCAAAGATGTACAATAAAAGATACGCTTTAGGTTTAGTGGATTCTTACGGCCCCCATTCTGACTTTACTAAGGTACTCTTTAGGTTTAGTAGATTATTTGGACCGGGCCCCCATTCTGACTTTAGTATGTGAATTAATGACAGATTTAATACTTTCAAATATTTCATAAATTATTTCACAAATAACAGGCCAAAGCATTCTAGCTTTTTCAATCAACTACTTTACATTAAAATGTAGCTTGATAAAACGTTAAAAATATTGAGGTTGATGACTATGTAGATAAGCGTATTTAAAAATATCGGTACTTTTTTAGATAGTTAATGTATATCATATAGCCCCCTCTCCTCCCCAGTGGCACAGCGGAATGTCTGCGGACTTACAACGCTAGAAACCGGGTTTCGATACCCCTGGTGGGCAGAGCACAGATAGCCCATCGTGTAGCTTTCTGCTTAACTTCAAACAAACAAGTATATCATAGAATTTATTGTAATATTATTATTACAGTTAATGTATAACATATAATATTTCATAGTTTGTTTAATACAAATAGTTAATGTATATTATTTAACATATTAATTTGAACAGGTAAAACTTCCTCGTCATTTAATAAGTTGAATGGACATATGATGCGTAAATCAAATTGAATTGGGCATTATTACCAGAAAAACCTCGAGGGAGAAAGAACAGTCCATACTAGACTCCTCGAGCGTATAATGATAACAGTATTAAAATAATTTTACTTACATTGGATATTCGGTGTTACAAATTGAAACGATTAAAAATGGTAATGAATTGATACACAATTATACATAATAATAAAGTAAAAGTAATTTCTGCCACCTAGTGGTAAGTGATTCGGAATTAGGGACAGCGCAGCGCTACTTGAACAGACAATAACAAACGTGCTGTGAAGGGACTCTATAATATGAGGGAGGAGAGCCTATGCTAATCTCCTCTGAAGTTGTAAATAACCATAGGAACGGTCATTCATAATTTGATAACAACCTCTAGTGATCAACCAAACACTTTCATTCAGACATTTCGATGATTCTAAAGATATCCACCATCACTAAGGTTGGTTTGTTTGGAAGTTCGCGCATAGCTACACGAGGGTCATTTGCGCTAGCCGTCCCTAATTTACCAATGAAAGACTAGAGGGAAGGCAGTTAGTCGTCACCAACCACGGACAACTCTTGGGCTACTCTTTTACCAACGAATAGTGGGATTGACCGTCACATTATAACGCCCCCATGGCTGAAAGGACGAGCATGTTTGGTGTGACGGGGATTCGAACCCGCGAACTGCAGAATGCGAGTCGAGCACCCTCACCACCCGGCCATGCAAGGTCCCCATCATTAAGGATAATGGCAGTGTATGTCATTTACTATAATCAGGCTAATATCGGGTTATAAATATATTTTTTCAAATAGAATCATGCTAAAAATCTTAAATTGTTTATTGGGAATCTTAAGTTGAACTCTTAAACTATTAACAGCAATTAATTTTAAAGCATTTTTAACATAAACCCGCATACGTTATGTTTGTATTATGATTTTACAGCGTAGTAAGTTGCATTTTGTGCACGCTTGTGTTATGCGTCTTTTGTTTTATAAATATCCTTATAAAGGTATCAGCTTTATATTTGGGTCACTGATGTTTTGTTATTTTTTAGTTTTGACTGTGGAAATAAGTCAGTGTTTCACTTTAAAATCACGTTTGTGTCTTATAACTGTTTACACGTTCTCTGATAAGGGGAAAAGGAAATATTTTTTTGCATTTTAATACGTTGTTATTGAAGTTGATCTTTCAAAATTTTGTTATAGAACTTGTCATTACGTACTGCAGTACTTACAACCATTAGTTAAGTTATAAAAAAAGCATAAGACAGGTTAATACTATCAAGACATATATATATGTCCAATGCTGGTGAATATTATGATTTGAATAACTGTATTATGAGTGTGAGAAATACAGTCAACAATTGTTTTTACAGCCGAGAACAAGAAATCCGAAGAACAGTTTATTAGGAAGAAGCAACACGGTAAGAAATGTGATTTTTATTAGAACGTCAAACCATTTTATTGGCCATTAATGAAAGAAGGTTAAACATGATCGCAGTACCAAATTATTCGTTTCTGACATGCTTGATTTCAAAATAAAAAGCACTTCTTGAGCTAAATGCAGCAGTACAAAATGCTCAATCTGGCGAAGCGGTGGCGGACCAACGGAAGGCATATATGGCTGCTGTTCAGGAATCACGTGGCAAATGGAGGCCCCAAAAATGTTAGGCTAGGCAGTGCCGGATTAACCATGAGGTAAATGAGGCAGCTGCCCCAGGTCCCCTACAGAATAGTGCCTCCACAAATATTTTGTTAACATTATTTCTTATATTTGAAAAGGACTTCATAAGGATATTTGCCTCAGAGCCTCCACATACCTTAATCCGGCCCTGAGGGTAGGATACTGTATATAAAGAGTGTTATTGAAAAAGGATTTGTATGTTTGTCTGTTTGAAGTTAAGCACAAAGCTACACAATGGGTTATCTGTGCTCTGTCCATCACGGGTATCGAAACCCGGTTTCTAGAGTTGTAAGTCCGCAGACGTACCGCTGTGCCACTGGAAGGGGGGGGGGCTATTGAAAAGGAAGAACTATAAGAAAGGGAATAAGTTTTTTAAAATGTTTATTTTAAATTGGGAGTGCTATTTAGGACTACCAATTAAAATTGTACATATTCCCCCCAAAAATTAATTATACACATACACATCTGTGGACCAAGGTGTGTATTTAACGGTGAAGTAACAATTTCTTGTACAACAAAATTAATAAGCATGAATGGGGGGGGGGGGACATATTATTCATTATCCCAGGCTTGAAGTGTTCTAATCGGCCTAATAATGGGTGATTAAACCTACTGTTGATTATACACTTCAAAGGACGGACGTTCAAAGTAGTATGTATAATATCCCACCTTTTTCTTGTCAATTTCTCTATATCTGTTATGGTTTATTAAAACGAGACTATATCACTATGGTAACATATATCTCGATTCAAGTCCACTAAATACGCATTGGCCGATTAATTTATGTAGTTACCACTACTTAAAGGTCTCTATACCATATTATTAAGCAGCATAAATTAAGGGCGTAACCTCATTTGTTGGTATAAATAAAATATTGTAGTAAAAAAGTTTATTCAAAAACTATTAGAATTAGTTTGAAGGAGATATAACATTTTTAATCTATGGAGAAAAATAGAACACATGCTTTCTTCAACAATGTGTTCATGAGGAGGAGTTCATGTGCCACTGTTTTCTCTTCTTAAGGTATACTAGAGCCCGGCATGGCCAGGTGGTTAGGGCGCTCGGCTCGCAATCTGCGGGTCGCGTGTTCGAATCCCCCGTCACACCAAACATGCTCGCCCTTTCAGCCGTGGGGGCGTTATAATGTGACGGTCAATCTCACTATTCGTTGGTAAAAGAGTAGCCCAACCTACACGAGGGCTATCTGCGCTAGCCGTCCCTAATTTAGCAGTGTAAGACTAGAGGGAAGGCAGCTAGTCATCACCACCCACCGCCAACTCTTTGCGCGAAATTCAAAACAAACAAACAAGCCACCATAAGGTTGATACCATGAGTTGTTTCTTGAATTATACGCACTTCCTACTTTGACCCATGAACTTTCAACTTCGGTCCGTAAGACACTTCTGCGGCCAATAACCGTCAATTAATTAATCACGTAAAACACTGTGGAAAGACATTAAGAAAGCAACCCTATTGCCACTACTTTGGCCGCTACCTCTTCTAACAAAGTAACCCTGACCATCGCACAATGTATGTACCATGTTTTACGTTCTTAAAGCTTATACAAAACTTTGGTGAAGTAATAATGAATACTGTAATAATATGTTATGTTATAAATAAATTGCTTGAAAGTTAGGATTTTTGTTTGATTTATCATAATATCCACCCACATATTGTTTTAAGTTCATATACCGGATAAAGGACAGGTACCTAAGCTTGTTAAATACTAATCAAACTAAGATATTAAATGAGAATCATGTGAATTACATAAATCTAAAGCTGTCCTTGTGTGGTGTTCCTGACCATGTATTATTAACTGAGGTGGAATGATCATCAACAAACAATTGGTTAATAATGGTTGGAGACGGCTTGAATGGCTAATGAAGAAAAACTTTAATATAAGTTTAACATAACAGGAAATGTACAACGTTTCGACAAGGTTTTGTCATCATCAGGTATCTGATGATGTATCTTGTACCCGATGATGACAAAACCTTGTCGAAACGTTGTACATTTGCTGTTATATTAAACTTATATTAAAGTTTTTCTTCATTACCCATTATTAGTCTCAAAGTGGGTTCCTCGTCATCGAATTCGAAACAATTGGTTAGATAGATTTAACTCATGGACTTTTAATGTGAAGAAAAGGGAGACGCAGAGACAATACGAGAATGAACAGAAACAATAGCTTTGTTCGTGTTAAGTACCAATGGGCTATTTATGCTATACCCATCACTGGTATCGTTATAAGAATACAGACTTACCTTTAAGCCACTTGGGGACCACTCTGATTAAGACGTGAAAAAGTAAAAACACTTAATTTTGTGTTTGTTGTTAAATACAAATCTACACAATGGGCTATTTTTACTCTACTCACTGTGGATATCGAAACCCGCGTTTTTAGTATTCTAAGCCCACAAACTTAGCGCTGAGCCACCGGACGACAAACATTTAGATAAAATCGACACTAATGAAAAAAACAAAAACAAA